TCTGCATTCTAATCTCAGCATCACCACATGCCAGCTTGTGTGAACTTGACCAAGCAACTGGATGCGCTTCTTCCTCTGTAAACAGGGTTGATAGTGCTCACCTCAGAGGCTCTTGGGAGGATGGGCAATTTCGTGCGGGCTTGGCGAGTTGTTAGCATTCAGCGAGGGTTGGTGATTGGCAGACCTCCAGTGGATCAACTCACGCCTCCGACCTGGCTGCAGAGGCACAGTGGAAGCAGGTTTGGGTACCTGTGCTCCCAGCAGACTCCCCACTCCTGCCCAGCCTAAAGGCCCTGCTATACCTGCCTGAGAGGGTGGCCGGATCCTGCAGCCGGGCAGTATCACCCTCCATTCCGGGGCATCATCCTTCAGAAACACCCCTCTCCGGAGGTCTGTTAGAGCCCACTCCTTCAACACCAGACAGCTGGAGCATGAAGACCTAGCACTGAGGAGCCGTGCTGATTCAAGTCAGCTTTTCATTCATTCTACAAAGATTTGTTGCGTGCCTCCTATGTGCTGGGCACTGTTCTGGGCCCTGGGGATTCAGCAGTGAATAAAACCAAGACCCCTGCCTTGGAAGAACTTACGTTCTAGGAGAAGAGACAAGAAATAATAAGTCAGATGGTGACAGATGCAATGGAGAAAAATGAGGCAGGGGAGGGAAGAGGAAGCCTGAGGGAGGGGAAGGAACACCGTTTAGACAGGGTGGCAGGGAAGATCTCGTGGAGAGGTGATATTAGAGCACAGGTGTGGAGGATCTGAGGGAGGAGCCCTGCGGAGAGCTGAGGGAACAGCGTGCCGGGAATCGAGAGCAGTGATGCAAAGACCCTGAGTCAGGAACGTGCCTGGTAGGTTCAGGGGGCAGCTGGAGGCCAGAGTGGCTGAAGCAGTGAGCTGGGGGTGGGGCGTGAGGTCAGAGACTTGAAGGGGTCTGCGGCCTCCATAGTGGCTGTTACTCTGAGTGAAACGGGAGCCATGGGGGCTGTGAGCACAGTCATGGCCTGACTTGTGTTTTACAAAGATTGTCTGACTGCTGTGCTGAGTATGGACTAGAGGGAACAAGAATGGAACCAGAGAGACGAGTTATGAGGCTAACGTCCAAGGGAGAGACGATGGAGTCTTGGGCCAGGATGGATTCCAGATTTCTTTTGAAGGCCCGGCCAACAGGATTTATGGATAGACTTGGGGCAGAGTGGGAGAGAGAGAAGAGTAAAAACGTAACTCCCAGAGTTTTGGCCAGAGTGACTAGAAGGATGGAGCCTACGGGAGGAGGAAATTTGAGGAGGAAGATGAGGAGCTAAGTCAGTTTGGGGCGTGTTCAGTATGAGCAGCCTCTGGGTCACCAAGGGTGGCTGTAAAGTTGGCAGCTTGAAATACAGGACTAGAGTTCAGGGACAGGGTGGGATTAGAGACACAAATTTGTAGGTTTCAATCTACATTTGGTCATTTGTATTGGTTTTCTATTGCTGTGTTAACAAATGACTTTGAAACTTAGCATCTTAAAACCATTAACATTTATTATCTCACACCGTTTCCATGGGTTAGGAATTTGAACGTGGTTTGGTCCGGTGGCCTGGCTCGGGGTCTCTCATGAGTTTGCAGTCAGGATGTCAGCCAAGGCTGCCATCTTCTGAAAGCTCGACTGGCGCTGGAGGACCCACTTCCAAGGTGGCTCACTCGCATGGCTGGCAGGAGCCCTCAGTTCCTTGCCATGTGGCCTGTCCACAGAGTTTCTTGAATGGCCTTACAACATGGCATCCAGCAAAGGAGAGCCAGGCGGAAGCCATGATGTCTTTTATGACCTAACCTTGGAAGCCACACCCTGTAATTTCCACAGTATCTTTTGCGCCATCTTGGAGGCTGGCCACCACAGGATTTAGCAACATGGAGCAAAGTTGAATTTTTCAAGGGCAGTTTTGGTGGAGTAGTGGGTAAAGCCTGAATTGGAGTGGCCTCAAGAGAGAATGGGAGAAGAGGAATTGGAGACGAGCATGGACGACTCTTCCAAGGGCTTTTATCACAAAAGGAGAGAGAAAATCGGGACAGTTACTTGAGGAGCAAGTGGAATTGAGAGATTTCTAAAAAGACGATGTTAAACACCATCAATGGGTGCTTTGAGTGGATGGAAAGGATCCACTACAGAAAAAGTGGAGGGGGGAGACTTGCTGGGGACACATCCTTGAATAGCGAGGGGGATGGGCTCTAGTGCAGAGGGTAGAGGCTGGCCTCCGAGAGTGGCGCGGGCCATTCACCCGAGGTAGGAGAGAGGGCTAAGGAGATGGGCTGGGGTAGGGAGCTCAAGTGGTGAAGTTCCCTTAGATTTTCATAGGAAATAGGAAGCACGGCCATCAGCTGAGAGTGACGGTGGAGGAGAACGTAGTGGAGGTGTGAGGAGAGGGTGTGAAATCACCATCCTGGAGCGTGGGAGAGTGAGTGGACCAGGAAAGATAGAAGGATTGCCAGCAGGACGGAGGGCCTGCTGGAGGTTTGGGATGATAAATTTAAAGCAAGATCAGCGAGGTCATGTGACTCTGCAGGCACATTCAGGGTCAAGGGTGCAAATACAGAGTGGGCGGAGGGTCGGGGTTTTTTCTCAGTGAATGTGACCCAAAATGGAGAGGATGGGGCGGGGCTGGGCAAGAAGGGAGGGGAGAGGGTGTGGAAAGGAGCTGGCACCAATGGACTGGAGGTCCTGGGGGGAGTGAAGAACTCCTGGAGTCAGAGTGACCGAGGGAGTGAGGTGGGAAGATAAAAGGGACACAAATGCGTTAGCTATGTTAAGTGACTTCCATCGACATCCACAGTCCAAAATGCTCAGGGAGGGGCCGCACTACAGCAGTGTAGACAGCAGCTGACTCCAGCAGCATGAGCCCGAGTTCTCAGGTGTCACACAGGCAGATGTTACATACACTCAAGCAGAGTCGCCCACTCACGTGTCACTCACTCTTGTCCAGACGTCGTGACTTCACATGTCCAAGGGGCTAAATCCTTCCAGGAGGGGGTGGAGTGGGACCATGGGGCTGCTGCCTCATGGTGCCATCACCACATCTGTTCCTCAACTTATCAGATGACCTTGGTATCTCACTGCCTGTCTGGTGGGGACTGTCCTTCTGTGTCCTCATAAGGAATGTGTACGCTCCCACACTGACAAGCTTCTGATAAGATCCAAGGTCATATCCTGGGTGCTGACAATCACCTTGCCAAGAACTGTGGCTTCCTGCTGCACCTCCCTGAAGTCACTGGTCACACTACACCCCCCACGAGTCCTCCCATGCTGCATGCTGCCGCTCCTGCTCCCCAGCACAAGGGGAGATGGGCGTGGCGGGCGGGGGGCAGATGGCGCTGGCAAAACGGGGCTGTGGGCAGGAAGGGGCTGCTCTGAAATCACACACACACACACACTCACACATTCACACTCACACACTCCACTTACTCACAACGTCCACCATGGCCCAGCTCCCCCAGCTCTTCAGGCGTCTTTGGCCAGTGAATGGGCTGCAGCCTGCTGGGCAGAGTCCCAAGGCAGGGTAGGCCGTGGCGGGGGGCGTGGGAGGAGTTGCAGCTTGAGCCCCAGGGGCCTTCCCAGCCCTGCCTGGCTCTCTGTGAGATCTGGAAGAGGCTCAATACGTGTACTGGTAACTTGACGTCTCCCTTTCCCTCTCAGCCTTCGCCCATGCTGGGCTGTCTGCACAGATGGCCTGCCCCTTGCCTTTCTGCATGCTGAATGCCTTCTCATCCATGGAAGATCCCCTCAAGTGTTCCCTCCTCGACAAAATTCCTCATTCTCCCCACTGGGAACACGCTGGTGCTTCCTCTATAGGGGCACTTACCACATGGTGGAACCCAAAGGCTGTCTGTCTCCCCTGCTGGACTTGAGTTCCTGGGCACCTTTATTCCCCAGGGCTTGGCATGGATCTGGCATAGAGTTGAATGAATGAATGATGCTTGCAGGTATAAGTGAAGGAATGAATGGATGGATAAATGGATGGATGAATGGATGGGAGGGGGAGTGAATGGGTAGATAGGAGAGTGGGTAGATAAATGGGTGGGTGGGTGGGTAGATGCATGGATGCATGGATGGGTGGATAGCTGGGTGGATAGATGGATGGATGGATGGGTGGATAGATGGATGGGTAGATGGGAGGGTAGGTGGATGGGTGAGGAGGGTGGGTGGACAAATAAGTGAAGGGATGGATGAGGAGATGAGTGGATTCCAGACAGGGTCAGGGAATGAAGGAGGAAGTCACCTTGTGCAGGGAAGTATGGGCTTCCCCCTCTCTGTCCTCCAGAATAGCTTCCCTTTCTAAGAGTCCCTCTTCCTCCCATTCGCTGAGACCCCTGCGGGACAGATACAGAGAATTCTTCTGGGTCCCTCTTCTTCCTTTAGCTCCAGGCTTAGCATTTTAGAGGGTCAGACGAGGCAGGAGAAGCTAAAATTTACAGGTTCCCACTGTGTGTCAGCCACTGAGCTATTTATTTCTACAGGTGTTGTCTTGTTTAATGAAAACAGCACCACAGTTTTGTGAAATACATTCTATTATCCCCATTTTACAGCTAAAAAAACGCTCAGAGAAGCTAAGTGAATTGCCCAAGGTCACATAGCTTATGTCTAGCAAGGATGGAATTTGAACTTAAAATCTGCTCATGCAGCCAGGGCGGGATGTGCTGGAGACAAAATGACCCCGAGGAGACAGGCAGTGGTGGCTCTGAGTTCCAGGCCTGGCTTGGCCTCTGGTTTACTGCGAGACCCATGATGAGACCTTGTCCCTCTCTGGGCCTCAGTGTCCCTGTGTGGACTTGATGCCCCCGGCAGTCCCTTCCAGGTGAATGATGCCGAAATGGAGGTGGATGTGAACAGCTCCCAGCCCTCCCTGCAGGATGCTCCCTCGCTGTCCCTGCCAGCTAGGGGCCAAAGAGCAGGGCCGCCCAGGAGGTAATGATTAACTAGACCTGACATCCCGTCTATAAGGAGCCACCCCAGGTGGCCAAGACTCCACGAGATGCAGTGGGTGAAGGTGCTTGGGGTGGTGGTGGGGGCTGCTGCCCTCTTGGCAGTGGGCATCATCCTGGGCCACTATGCCATCTCCAAAGGGGCTGACTCGACAGCTTCCAGCATCTCAGCCTCCCAGGACCTGGACCTGGAGATCCTTGAGACCGTTATGGGACAGCTGGATGCCAGCAGGATCCGGGAGAATCTTCGGTGAGAGGCCTGTCTACCCACCCCTCCTGTTTGCCTGCTGCCCCTCCCTGACCCTGGCCGGTCGCCCTCTGCCTGCCCTGCAGAGAACTCTCCAGAGAGCCACACCTGTCCTCCACGCCCCGCGATGAGGCGCTGGTGCAGCTGCTGCTGCAGCGCTGGCAGGACGAGGAGTCAGGCCTGGACTTGGCCAAGACCTTCAAGTACGAAGTGCTGCTGTCCCTCCCCAGCGAGGAGCAGCCCAACAGCGTGACCGTTGGTGAGGGCCTGTGCAGGTTTGGGGATGCCTGTGGGGTGGGGGAGCTGCTGGGGCCCAGCCCTGACACTGCCCCCCTCCACAGTGGGTCCCACTGGGGACATCCTCTTCTCCTGCCGCCAGAGTGAGGAGAACCTGACTGGGGAGCAGGCGGGTCCCGATGTGGTGCCACCCTACGCTGCCTACGCTCCCCCCGGAACCCCACAGGTGGGCCTGGAACACCCCCCCCCCACCGCCATGGCCCAGCTCCCCCAGGCTCCACCCCAGCTTCTCCCATCCTGACCCAGTGAGGCTCAGCCTCCCCCAGAATTTACTCACCCCCACACTCCATTGCTACGCCTTTCACCCATCACTTAGTCGTTCAACAAACACTAATGTCCCCCACTCAAAGCCAGTCCTGTGACAGGGTACCTGGACACAGAGGAAACCAGGTGTGACTCTGTCTTTGGGGAGCTTACAAGCTCTGAGTGAGGTGGGGATTAGAAGAATCTAATCCTTCTTCCTGCCACTCAGCCTTCTCTCTCCTTGACCCACCCCACCTTTTCTGGGCCTGGCTCTAAGGATCACTTCCTCTTGGGACTAGGGCCTCCTCGTCTACGCCAACCAGGGCTCAGAAGACGACTTCGAGGAGCTACAGACTCAGGGCATCAGTCTCGAGGGCACCATCGCCCTGACCCGCTATGGGGGTGTAGGGCGTGGGGACAAGGTGAGAAGCAGCCCCCAGTGCAGGGGGCTGGGCGGGGAGAGGGGCCCAGCAGTGGACAGGAGGAAGTGAGGGGGAGGGGAGGGAGCAGGGTTGGGTGGGGGCTGTGCCCTGGGCTGGGGGCAGGAAAGGCAAGCTGTATTTGTGCTGTACCTCTGATGTGCTGTGTGACCTTGGATGACTTCCCTAACCTCTCTGAGTGTTAGGAAAGAAAAGAATCAGCAAAATTTTCGGCTTTGATATTCTGGGAGTCCAGTCCTCCTGTGAAGTAATCCTTCTGAATAGTCAACTTAAAAGTCCTCCTGTTGCCCTCCCCCCAACCTGCTTCTTTTCAATTCAAAATTTTGACTAAGTATTACATATCTATGTTTAAAAAAAATTTTTTTTAAATAAAAGGGCATAGAGTGAGAGAAGGGAATAGGTAGTTAGTGTTTAGTGGGTACAGAGTTTCAGATTTGCAAGAAGAAAAGAGTTCTGGAGATGGATGGTGGTGTTGGTTGCACAATAATGTGAATGTACTTAATGCCACTGAACTGTACACTTAAAATGGTTAAGACAGGGGGCCGGCCCGGTGGCGCAGCAGTTAAGTGCGCACGCTCCACTTCAGCGGCCCGGGGTATGCAGGTTTGGATCCCGGGCACGCACCAACGCACCGCCTGTGAAGCCATGCTGTGGCAGCGTCCCATATAAAGTAGAAGAAGATGGGCACGGATATCAGCCCAGGGCCAGTCTTCCTCAGCAAAAAAGAGGAGGATTGGCGACAGATGTTAGCTCAGGGCTGATCTTCCTCACACACACACACACACAAATGGTTAAGACAGTAAATTTTATGTTGTGTGTATTTTATCACAATTTTTAAAGAAATGCCCATGATAAGAGCTGCAAAAAAAAAAAAAAAAAAAAAAGAGAGAGAGAAGAAAAAGAAAGAGGAAGGCATGGTGGAATTATTTGAATTATAGAATATCCAGTTTAAAAAAAAAGTAGAGAGTGAAAAAGTCCTCCTGTAATGCCATCCTCCAAAAAGGTAACGACTTTTTTTCAGTTTATGGAGTATTGATTCAGAGTTTCTTTTGGAAGAAGCACATATAAGTATAGTCTTATTTCCTGCTCTTTTGACATAAAAGTAGCTTACTATCCCCGCTGTTCTGAGATGTGCTTTCTTCACCTTAATACAACCTGGAGATCATTCTCGATTGGTACTTAAACTCTGCCCTTGCTCTTTTTTTTTTTAAGGTACTGTTTTGTTTTCATCGTGGTAAAATACATGTGACAAAATTTACCATTTTAACCATTTTTAAGTGTACAATGCAGTGGCATTAAGAACACTCACAATATTGTGCAACCATCACCACTATCCATTTCCAGAACTCTTGTGTCATTCCAGACGAAACTCTGTACCCATTAAACGCTGACTTCCTCTTTCCCCCTCCCCAGCCCCTGGTAACCTCTATTCAACTTTCTGTCTCTATGACTTTGCCTAGTCTTGGGACTTAATATGAGAGGAATCATACTATATTTGTCCTTTTGTGTCTGGCTTATTTCACTTAGCATACTGTTTTCAAGTTTCATCCATGTCGTATCAGAATTTCCTTCCTTTTTAAGGCTGAATAATAGTCTCTTGCTTAATATACCATATTTTGCTTATTCATTCATCTGTAGATGGACACTTGGGTTGTCTCCACCTTTTGGCAATTGAGAACAGTGCTGCTGTGAACACGGGTGTACGAGCCCATCCTCGTTCTTTTAAACAGCTGCATAGTATTCCACTTTAGGATCTTCTGTGTGTTTAATCAGCCCCCACTGATAAGCATTGGCTTGCCAATGCCCAAGAGTCTTTTGTTGTCTCAAGCAGCACTGCAAGAAATGCCTTCTGTTAGCATCGTCTTGTGCGTGGGAAGATCAATCTGTCTTGGCTTCCACAGCGAGGGAGGGAGTGGAACAGGATGTATCCCCTCCTCGCCCCTCCCCTAAACACAGCCTCTTCTGCCTCCCGCAGGCTGTGAATGCCGCAAAGCACGGGGTGGCTGGGGTGCTGGTGTACACGGACCCTGGCGACATCAATGACGGGCAGAGCTTGCCCAACCAGACCTTCCCGTACTCCTGGGGCCTGCCTCCCTCGGGGGTGGAGCGAGGCTCCTACTTCCAGTATTTTGGGGACCCCCTGACTCCCTACCTTCCAGCCAACCCCTCCTCCTTCCGCCTGGACCCTGCCAATGCCACCGGATTTCCCCCAATTCCCACTCAGCCCATTGGCTTCGAGGATGCAAAAGTTCTTCTCTGGTGAGCTTGTGCCCTGGAGTCTCCTTGCCCACCCTCCAATGGCCTCCAAGCTTCAAACCCCACACCCATACCTGCTCTGAAGAGCCTTCCCCTCCTCCCCAGTAACCTCCAGGGAAACTCGGCCCCGGCTACCTGGCAGGGAGCACTGGGCTGTGAGTACAGGTTGGGGCCCGGCTTCCGGTCTGATGGCGACTTCCCAGCAGACAGGTAAGAGGGGCCCCGTCTCCCCACCCTCCTCTCTACTTCCTTTGTTATGATTCCCTGACCCGGGGTCCCCTCTGCCCACTTCAAGGCCTGGCCTTTCTCTTTCTTCTCTCTCCAAACCCTCCCCTGACTCCAAAATATCTGTCTTGTCTTTGGGGAGGCCGGTGAAACAGCTGTGTGGCCCACAGACCCTCTGGGGTCCCCCCACTTCATCTCAGACCTCCACTCTCCAGCCACCCCCTCTCTTGAACGTGCTAAGCTGGTTCCCAAATCAGGGCCTCTGCACTTTCTGTTCCCTCTGCCGGAAACACCCTTCCCTTCACACCTGCCATTCCTAGCCTGCACTAACCTCCTTACCTGCCACCAGGTATCCTCTCACACGTCAACTTGTTAGTGTCCCCCAGGCCCCTTCACCTCCTGCAGGTAGTTGCTCACTTCTTCATGGCCTGTCTCACTCAGGAGACGGAGGCCCACAAGGGCCGGGTCCACGTCTGTCTCAGTCATTGCCCACAGCCTAGAACGCTGCTGGCATACACTAAGCATCCAATAAGCGCTTACAGAGTGATGAGTGAATGGAAAGGAGAATTGGAACCAGAAGAGCAGGCTCTAGCCTTGCTGCCTCTCCTGGTACTTCTGGGCAAGTGACCTTGCCATGTCCCTTTCCCGCTCTCAGCCTCAGTTTCTCCTGCATTGGGGGGGAGTGGGTGGGGCCAAGACTCTTGTTGCCCCCCTCCACCCCGCCCCAGCCAGGTGAACGTGAGCGTCTACAACCGCCTGGAGCTGCGGAACGCCTCCAACGTCGTGGGGATCATCCGCGGGGCTGTAGAGCCTGGTGAGCGCCGCCTCACGGCTTCCTGCGCCCCCAGGACCGGCCCTGCCCCTGACCACTCCCCCTCCGCCCTCTTCTCTGGGTTCTCACTTTGCTCCTCCCGCCAGACCGCTATGTGTTCTATGGAAACCACCGGGACAGCTGGGTACACGGGGCTGTGGACCCCAGCAGCGGCACTGCTGTCCTCCTGGAGGTCACCCGCGCCCTGGGGACCCTGCTGAAGAAGGGTGAGGAGGCCCCCCTCCCCTGGTCCAGGGATTCTCCCCCAGGAAGTCCCCTCCAGCCCACTCTTCCTTGAGCTTGTGGACATTCTGTCCCACCTCCTCACTCTCATTCTCCAGTGTCCACTTGTGCCCAGAGTGAGGGCCCTGGAGGCAGACATCCATGGACTCCAGCCCTGGCCTCCCCCCGGCAGCCCAGTGTGGCACAGGGAACTCATGTAATAGCTTCTGAGAGCCCCCTGTGCCCCTCTAATGCAGCATAGCTGGGATGCTGCTGAGAGCAAGGCAATGCCCCGGCTCTGTCCTCGGGGAGGTCAGCTGAGGCGGGGATGACAGACAACCGTTGTCTCAACAAATATGTCCTGCATGCCTACTATGTGCCAGGCCACTTCTAGGCCCCAGAGATACCACAGTGAACACCCCAGTTCCTGCATGAAATGACAATTGTGCTAGGTGCTATAAAGAAAAATATCTAAGGGGCTTTCCAGGTGCAAGCCAGAGCTGGGGGAGGCCTCTCTGTGGAGGTGGCAGTTCAGGAAGGGAGGGGGCGGATCCCGGTAGAGGGCATGGCATGCGGGATGGAAGGGCTGGACCAGGTGGCAGAGCTGGCAGGGCCAGGCCACTGGCAGCCCAGTGGAGGAGTTTGCTGTTCCATCCAAGGGTGGCGGAAAGCTGGTGAGGGACTTGAATCAAGAGAGTGACGTGATAGAGGACAATTTTAAACGGCTTCCTCTGCTACAGTGGGAAAGGGCATGGCAGGGCAAGCCCTGTGTGGAGGGACCAGTCAGAGGTGTTGTCAGCCTCAGGCCAGGAGCGATGGTGGGGCTTGGACCAGGCAGGGGCAGTGGGAAGGAGAGAGTGTGAAGACCTTGGGGTCTGTTAGTGACAGAGGTGAGGGAGAGGACAAGTGGAAGGCTCCTGGATTTCTGATTTCTGGTCTGAGCAACCCAGTGTATGGTGGTGCCATTTATGAAAAACAAAACAGAGTCAGAGGGCAGATCTAGGGGAAAGAATGTGAATTTGGTTCTTCACATGTTGATTTTTTTTTTTTTAGTTTTTTTTATTGTGGTAAAATATACATACCATAAAATTTACCCTTCTAACCATTTTTAAGTGTACAATTCAGTGGCATTAAGTACATTCACAGTGTTATGCAATCATCACCACCATCCATCTCCAGAACTTTTTCATCTTCCATGACACACAACATCCTAAAATTATAACTATCTAATTTGAATCGATAGCAACTTTACTTCAATGGCATACAAAAACTCTACTCCTATAAAGCTCTGTCTTTCCCCTTTATGTTACTGATGTCACCAATTACATCTTTATACATTGTGTGCCCTTTCACGTATTGATTTTGAGGTGCCCAGGAGACATTCTGGGGGAGAGGGCAGGCAGGCAGTTGAAGATGCTGGTTTTCTCCAGGTCAGAAAAGAGATAAACTGGGGAGCTGGTGGCATAAATGGTCTGTAACACCACAGGTGTGGTTGAGATCAACTGATAAGGGTGTGGGGGGAGAATCTTGTGGAGAGAGGGTAGGCTTTTGACGTATTGCCTCTGGTAGTGCAGAAATGTCTGTCTTTGTTCTTGTTGTTGAAGTGTTTTTTTGTTTGCTTGTTTGTTTTTTTGGTGAGGAAGATTATCCCTGAGCTAACAGCTCTTGCCAATCTTCCTCTCTTTGCTGAGGAAGATTGGCCCTGAGCTAACATCCATGCCAATCTTTCTCTACTTTACATGTGGGACGCCTGCCACAGCATGGCTTCATGAGCAGTGCATAGGTCTGTGACTGGGATCTGAACTTGCAAACCCTGAGCCGCCGAAGTAGAGCACGTGAACTTAACCACTACGCCACCGGGCCAGCCCCTGTTGAAGTGTTTTATTTTGAAATAATTTCAGACTTACAAAAGAGTTGCAAAAATAGTCCAAAGAAGCCTCATAAGCCCTTCACCCAGATACTCCTAATATTAATGCTTTACCATCTTTTGCTCTATTTATATATTTTTCTGAAGTGTTTGAAAATTGCAGAAATCTGTCTCTTTATCTGTAAACACATCTCTGTATATTTCCTAAAAATAAGGACATTTTCTTTTATAATCACAGTCCCATGATCAGAAACAGGAAATTAACAATTTTGCCAGTTGTTCCTATAATGACCTTTAGAGCAAAAGAATTTTCTGGTCTGAGATCCAATCCAGGATCACACACTGCATGTGCGGTAGTTGTACGTGTCCTCTGTCAGAGTTCCTTAGCCATCTTTTGTCTTTCATGATCCTGATTTTATTTTCTTGAAGGTCCTTTGATTTGGGTTTGTCTGATTAGATTCAGGTTATGCATTTTTGGCAGGAAAAAGTATAGGAATTTGTCATTGCAAGAATGTAATCATTTTATACGTTATGAAATTTCATTTACAACAAAAAGATGAGGAATGATCAAAGGGGACTGAGTTGCAGCCAGAGATGGGGGCACAACCAGGAAGATGTGGCCGTGGAGGGCGAAGGGGAGTCTGGAGGAGGTGAGGGGGCAAGCCAGGAGCACCAACGCTTCCGGGAGGTGGCTGGGGACGGTGGCTAGAGCAGTGTGAGCACAGAGGCTGGAGATGGAAGCCAGGCTGCAGAAGGCTCTGAGAGGCAGTGTGGGGCACTGGTCAAGCCTCCGAACTCTGGAGCCAGACCCTGGACTTGAACCCTAGCTCTGCTGCCTACCAGCTGTGTAACTCTGGGCAAGACATTTAACTTCTCTGTGGCTCGGATTACTCAACTGTGAAATGGAGACAATAATAGTCTTTCCCTCCATGCCTTGCTGTAAGGATTGGCTCAATATGGATAAAGCCCTAAGGAGAAACTTCATGTATTATCACCAAGTGAAGAAGGTTATGGGCGAGTTTGCACCGACTGCGCGGAGGAGAGAGTGGGAATGGAGGGTCAGGAGGTCTTCTCAAAGCATGCCTATAGAGAAGAGGGAGGCAGGGCCTTCTTGCAGAAGGGACCGCCTGGCCAAGGGAGGTTGGTGCTGGGGACAATTTGGGGGGCGAGTGTCACAGCAGGGGAGGGGGGCTGGGTAAAGGAGGATGAAGCCTCCAGGAAGGCTTGGCTGAAGAGGTGCCTACCTCCTGTCACCAGCTGCTCCACCCCTTCCAGCCCTTCCCTCTTCTCCACGTCCCCAACCTTTTCCCTAAGCCACCCGAGGAGCCGGGGACCCTGTCCTCCAGCCTTTTGTCACCCCCCTCCCCCCGCAGGCACCTGGCGTCCCCGCAGATCAGTCATATTCGGAAGCTGGGGCGCAGAGGAGTTTGGGCTCATTGGCTCCACAGAATTCACGGAGGTGAGTGAACCCCGCGGGGTAGGGGATGGGGGGGCGGTTCCCGGGACGGGGCAGCGCCGAGCTGATGTCGCCTCTCGAACCTGCAGGAGTTGTTTAGCAAGCTGCAGGAGCGCACCGTGGCCTACATCAACGTGGACATCTCGGTGTTTGGTATGGGGCGTGCCTGGGCTGACTGGGGAAGGCGGGACATGAAGGGACTGGAGCTCGAAGAGAGTCGTTCTCTGATCCTCCCACAGCCAACGTCTCCTTCAGGGGCCAGGGGACGCCCCCGGTCCAGAGCGTTATCTTCACCGCAGCCAAACAGGTGGAAGGGGCGGGGCTACACGGGGTGGGCGGGGCTGGGGTGGGACTGAGGCTGGGGGCGGGCCTTGTAGGACCTGCACGAGAGTGCCTGGGCTGGAGACTCGGGCGGGCCGGGCGGAGGACCCGCGTGGTTGTTGGCCCTAGGGAGGGGCCAGCCCTAGACTAGATTCCCCTCCCGGCCAGATCTCCGCACCAGGCCACAGCAACCTCAGCATCTACGACAACTGGATCCGATATTACAACCGTAGCAGCCCGGTGTACGGCGTGATCCCCAGGTGAGCCCAGGGCCGGGACGGGGGCCCCGGGAGGGCGGGCTGGCCTAGCGCCCTCCAGGCGGACCATCCTCCTTCCCCCAGGATGGGCACCCTGGCTGCTGGCAGCGACTACGCACCCTTCATCCACTTCCTGGGCATCTCCTCCATGGACCTCGCCTACACCTATGACCGGGTGAGCGGGCACCCCTCCTTCCCCCAGCTCGGTACCTCGCTCCACCAGCCCTCTCCTCTCCTGCGGGCTGCGCTAGTGCAGACTGAACCCGGGGCCGTCCCTCAGTAGCTGCACTACCTCCGCCAAGTTTCTTAACCTCTCTGTGCATCTGTTTACGCTCATCGACATTATTTTATCAAATTTAAGATACTACTGATTGTAAGATACACTATTATGATACGCACTATTCAGGAGGGATAAAACCACTGCCAATTAGTTGTAGGATGACACTGACTGTAAGAAGCAGATCATCTGACTCCAGAGATCTTAAAATGTGAAGAAATGTTTATCTCAGAATAAATAACAGTATAAAACAGGGATGATCCACAGCATTGGTGTGAGGGTGAGATAAGATAAGGGAGCCTGTGTCTCCCTGTTTGATGCTCCAAAATGCCCTTTCTCCCCGCCTGGCCACACTGCTCCTGGGAGGTGGAGCTGGATTTGAATTCAGCTCTGCCACTTATTAGCTGTGTGATGTCAGGCAGGTTACTTAACCTTTCTGAGCCTCAGTTTCCTCCTCTGTAAAGTGGGAATTCTAGAACCTTCCTCATGGATGTGGCGATGAGTTATTCGAGATAATGCCCCTACATTGTAGCTTACTATAATACACCTCCTCTCACTTCCCATCCCAAGCCTGTCACCTCTGGGCCTTGTTCCCCCAGAGCAAGACCTCAGCCCGGATCTACCCCACCTACCACACAGCCTTCGACACCTTTGGTTACGTGGAGAACTTTGTGGACCCTGGTGAGGAGAGGGCCAAGGGGCATCCTGGGGCTGGAGGAGTGTGGGCTGAAGACGGAGCCCTGACCTTGTCACCTTCCCTGAAGGCTTCAGCAGCCACCAGGCCGTGGCCCGGATGGTGGGGAATGTACTTCTTCGGCTCAGTGACAGTCTCTTCCTGCCTCTCAACATCACTGACTACAGCGAGACCCTCCACAGCTTCCTGCAGGCTGCCCAGGAGGACTTTGGGGACCTGTTGCAGCAGAACGGCATCAGCCTGGGTACGGAGTCCCCCTGACATTGAGGTATGGGGAACCCTGCACCGCCAGGGCTAAGATGCCGGTTGCTCCCCACAGAGCCTCTGGTGACCGCAGTGGACAAGTTCCAGGGGGCAGCCGCGGACTTGGATGAACAGATATCAGAGCTGCAGAAGGGCACCCCCGAGTGAGCAGGGGCAGCAAAGAGGTGTCTGGGAGGGTGGCTTCCAGGGCAGGATGCAGGCTAGCAGCTGGGCCACTGGCTCCAGGGTGAGCCACAGGTCCTGCCACCTCCAGCCCCCTGCAGGTCCGGATGATCAATGACCAGCTGATGCTCTTGGAACGGTCCTTCCTGAACCCGCAAGCCTTCCCAGAAGAACGCTACTACAGGTGAGCCCCAGTCTGGGGAGGTGTGCTGGGGTGAGGCTGGGCAATGGGCACCCGCCTGAGGGAGGAGAATATCAGAGTTTCGCTGGCCTTTAGAGCACATGCCATCCCTTGAGACAGTTGGAGAATCAGGCTCAAAGGAGGGGAGGCAAATCGGTCAAGGTCACCCTGGGACTAGAACCCACATCTCCACTGCTGTAAGGGCCTCACCTTTCAGGCAGTGGGGCGGTGCTTTTGTGCCTAGCTGTATACAGGAGCTGAGCCCGTTCCAGGCTGAAGCTCCCCTCTTTCCTGGCCCCCAAATGACCCTGATCCTCCTCCATTTCTCCTGTCAGCCACGTGCTCTGGGCACCCCTCACCAGCTCCATAACCACGTTCCCGGGCCTGGCCATTGCCTACTCCACAGCCATGAACACAGACCCCGGATCTGCAGCCTGGGCTGAGGTGCAGAGGCAGCTCAGCATTGTGGTGGCAGCTGTGGAGGCTGCAGCAGCCACCCTGAGGCCTGTGGCTGACCTCTGACCCCAGCCCTCATTCTTCAGCCCCCCCCCTTTATCCTAATCCCCTCCCACTCCAGTTTCCTTTAGGTGTGTCCCAGTCTTCCCTGATGCCAGGAGAGGGCAAAACAAGGGGACCCTCTCATGCTTAAGGCAACAGCTTGGGGTCCCACCAGTGGTGAACACCTGAGGGAGTGACAAGCCCCGGATGAAAATCTCCCTCATCCTAGCTCTTGGTTGGCAGGGGATAGTGGGAAATGGCAAAACCACCAACTGCTCTTGGTGGGGGGTGGGTGAGGAAGGGATGCATAATGCCAACCTTAGATGCCAACTCAGAGATTACCAGGGCCATCCCTCAGGGACCAGCAGGGAAACTGAGGTCCAGGGTGGACAGGGCCTTGCCCAGTCTGGTTTCCTCTACCCCCATGGCCCTGGCGTGTCTCAACTCCTCCCTGCCTTCCCCCAAATAAATCAATAGCTGTTGTCCCTACAAAGCAAGTTCCTTTTATTGGGTGGGAATCATGAAAAAAGAAACCTGAGTGCTCACACCGAGTCCTGGGCTCTGGGAGACTGAACAGCCCCTCCTCACGCTGGGGACTTGGGTCTCTCCACACCCTCATCCTCCTCCTCTGCCATCACCACCTCCTCCAGGGTGCGCCCTCCGAGTTTGCTCCCCACCAACACTCTGCAGGTCCCAGCGGGTGGCAGCCCCTCCTCAGTGTAGCGACCCCTCAGGAACACAACTCTCTCCTGTCCGTCCAAGGGCAGTCCGTGGGCCTGGCACAGGTCCCGGGCCTCCTCGGCCCCATCCAGAGCCAGAAGGTGGACTATGAAGCCCAGGGGCAAGGTCTGGCCCTTGGGGGTGCTCAGGGCACGAGCGAGGCGGGCCAGGGCTCCGCGGCGGGCACGGCCCACGTGGCACCGCACGGCGCAGCTCTGCAGGTAGGGCAGGCTCCGGAGCAGGCGGAACAGGCGGGCGGTGTTGCCTTCTCGGAAGGCCGAGTCGACTGCCAGGGCCGTGCGCAGGGCCGGGCAGGCACGCAGGGCAGCAGGCAGCTGCAGCACCTCGTGAAGGGCCTCCACCGAGCCTGTGAGGGCGGGAAGGTGGGATGAGAACCGCAGTCCTTCCCGGAGCAGGCCCGCCTTTCATCCTATCCCCTCCCCGCATCTTCCTTCCCACCGGCTCGTCTTCAGCCACGCCCACCTCCTCTGGCCCTCTCCCGACATCGGTCCCACCTACCTCTCCCGGTCTGGCCACGCCCCTCCCCTAGGCCACGCCCACCTTACCTCCCCCTTTCCCCACCACCCCAGCTTCCTGAGCCAAATCTGAATGAGATGCCAGAGGTTCCAGAGCCCCTTCAAACAGTCTGGATCGTCATAATAAATTGAGGCAGTGTTTACAGATGAGGGAAACAGGCCCAGATAATTTAACGACTTGCTTGAGACTGTCCTAGGGTTCGTATGTAGTAGAACCAACCAAATGCAAGTTTTCTGACTTCGAACCCAGCCCTTTCTCCGCCGCTGACCCACAGATTAGGGAGCCTGCTCTGCCACACCTTCCCCAGTCTGCCTGGTAAGGCCCTTTCTTCGTGGAGATTCTGCCCCCGCTTCCCTTCCAGGAGAATCACGGACACTGGAACCTTGGGCCACCTTTGTAAACTGATTCTTCTGACCCATTAGTGGGTTGTGAAGTCAACAGCATTTTATTAAATATAGAATAGAATTTATTAGAATCCACCATCCATCCATAGAAAGGATCTAAAGTCTTGAAACTTCTGTCTCAGATATATTCGTGGGCACACGTGTTCTTAGCTGCTTTGCAACACTGACTGAACTGGAAGTTAAAAAAAGTTTGAAAATCACTATCTATGCCAACTTTCCCGTTCCAACTCCGTCCCCTCCACTCTTATTACGAGAAAACCGAGACCCAGAGATGGGAAGAGACAGGGCCAGAAGGCCCACGTCGGGGCTTGGTGGATCTTATGCATTGACTCGACACACATTTAGGAAAAGTGTGTCCCTTTAGGGAAAGGGAGGGAGCTAACGGTGAGATTTTAAAGCTCCTCGTTCCTTCCCCGGCTTCCACTGTGTACATGGAGGGCCCTCCGCCTTCGCGCTCTGCCCCGCCGCCGGGACCCCGACTCACCCAGGTTGTAGAGCAGAAAGAGGCCCTGGAAGGCGGCCTGGCGGGGGTGCGGCCCGGCGCCCTGAGCGTAGCAGCGGCGCAGCGAACCGAAGCCCTCCTGCACCTGGGCCTGCAGGAGCACCGGGTCCGCAGGCCCGCGCGCTGCGTCCGGCCCGAGCCGCGCCACCACGGCCAGCAGCACGGCCAAAGCCGTCTCTAGCACCACCGCTGCCTCAGCGTCGCCTGCGCCCTGCAGGGCCAGGTCCAGCCGCACGGCGCGCAACCGGTCCGCCACGAAGCTGGCCACCTCTGCGCGGGATGCGTCGGCGCGCTCGGCCACCTGGCCAGCCAGGTAGCGCACGGTGGCCAGCAGCACGGACGGCGGCCGCAGCTGGCTCGGCGGGGGCCGGGCCTTGCCGGCGGCCGGCCGGCTGTACTCCTTCACCGCGCGCTGCGGGTCGGCACGGGGCCGGTCCCCGCGACACCCCGGCGCCACCTCGAAGCGGTGCAGGCGGCGCTCCTTTTCGCGCTGGGCGCGCTCGGCGGCCGGGCACATGTCCGGGCACGTGCCCACGGGCAGCTCGCAGCCGGGCATGGGTGGGCTGCGGGGAGAGGATGGGCGCTCAGCATCCCGGGGACGGCGGCCGCCACTCGCACCATTCTGCGGGAGAGCACGCCGAGGCAGGCGGAGGCTCTGGGGAGGCGAGGCGGGGCCGACCCCGGCTGGGCCCGCCTTCCCGCCCGGGTCTAAGCGTCCCCGCCGCCCGTCTGGCCGCCGCTGTGCTCTCACCGAGTCCTGTCGCCTCCCACAAAGCCTCGAGCAGGCCTCCCGAGATGCACTGCGTTGTAGTTCAGCGCCGCCACACCTGTTCCGCGCGCCCAGGCGCGGCTAATACCCCCCATAAAGCGCCGCGCGCAGTCTTGGCCACTCCCATGATGCACCGGTTTGTAGTTCCTTCTGCAACCAATCGCTTTGCAGGAGGGGCGGGGCAGGAGCGGAGCCACGCCTTTCCATGTTCCAGCCCACCGAACCATCAATGTTTGGCTTGCCTGCCCCCTCGCCAAAACGGGTAACCCGGCTCAACCGGCCTGTTATTCTCCACCGTTCCTTTGGAGACTATTCTCCCCGTTTTCTAGATCAGGCGTCAGCCAGCTTTTCTGCAAAGAGCCAATAGTAAATCTTTTGGAATTTGCGGGTCGCAACTTCTCAACTCTGCACCTATTCAACTCTGCTGGTGTGGCGGGAAAGCAACCATAGACGATGCTAAACTAATGAGCCCAGTTGTGTTCCCATAAATTTTATTTTTAGATCCTTAAACTTCATGTAAGTTGCACCTGTCACAGAATATTATTCTTTTTTTTTAAAGATTTTTATTTATTTATTTTTTCCCCCCAAAGCCCCAGTAGATAGTTGTATGTCATAGCTGCACATCCTTCAAGTTGCTGTATGTGGGACTCGGCCTCAGGATGGACGGAGAAGTGGTGCCTCGGTGCGCGCCCGGGATCTGAACCCGGGCCACCAGCATCGGAGCGCGCGCCCTTAACCACCAAGCCACGGGGCCGGCCCCAGAATATTATTCTTTTGATTTTTTTCAACTGTTAAAAAATGTAAAAACCATTCTAGCTCATTGGCCTTACAAAAAAAGGCAGTGGGCCAGACTTGGCTACAGGCCGTCGTTTGCAGACCCCGGTTCTACATGGGTGGACGGAGAGTTTAGTGACCAGAGCTGCTGCTCACACATCAAGATAGAGACAAGCAGGATCAGAAGTGTGAGTCCCTGATTGCAAGGTGGCAGGTGTGGTCAGGGAGCTGAGAATTCATTATTTTTCTCATTCTTGGTCCAGTTACATACAGAAATGGCCCCTGGAGTTACAAGACCAGGAGACAGGACCAGGCACCAGGGGAAGGAGAGGGGGGCGGCTGGCAGTGCTGGAGCTGGAGTCCTGGGGAGGGAGGCACTCCCTCTCAGGGTGGGACTTGGGACAGGTGCAGGTGCAGGATTTCCTCTGCCCGCCTCAGGTACTCGGCTGCCTTCTTCTTCACACCCTCCCGGCGGGCAGGCGATGGGTCACCTGTGGAGAGAGAATGGCTCAGCTGAGGCACCTGGGCCCAGGTACCTAGGTTCAGAACCCCTGGTCTAGCCCCTTCCAGTTCACAGAGCATCAACAGGTGTCTTTACCCCCTGCCTGGGAGTCGAATGTATTCTCCCCATTTTGCAAATAAGAAAACTGAGGCCACAAGAGGAAAAGAAACTGCCCAAGGTTACACAGCTGGCCAGTGAGGAGCAATTCTGATCCTTGAATTGCTGGGTTTTTACTTTCCCTTCCCTTCACTGCACCATCTGGGACCCCAGGCCTGACCCTCCCCCTCCACCCCTACTCACCCGGAACTCCCTGCAGCAGGATGTGCACGCCGTCCCGGTAGCCCTGCAGAGCTGCAGGGTAGGCACCTGCCTTCTCGTCCCGCAGGGCCTGAGTGATGAGCTCTGTGGCTTGGCTCAGATAGGCAGGGGCAGGCCCTCCTTCCTCATCCTCTTCCTCCTCCTGCCCTCCTGGCTCCCAAGGTTCCTGGTTCAGCCTTTCAGTCTCTGCCTCCATTGCTGCCAGCTCACTTATGTGGGTAGGAGTGGGGCCTGCACCTTCTGCAATCAGATACGGAGGACTCAGGCCACACTGGCCCTCCCTTTCCCAGGGCCTGCTGCTCATCCCCAGACCTCTCTTGCCCATCAGGGTACCAACCCACCCGGGTGGAGGGGAACAGTGTCTGAGCAATCCAATTTCTTTCGATGCACATTGACGGTAGTTTGCAAGCGCTGGGTCACTGTTCCTACTTCCCTCCTCACTACAGTTGATCTACAAATCTAAGAATTTCCTCCACAAAGTTTAACTGAAGGATGCTAGACCAACTACACGAGGCCAAGGTTAGAAACGCTCCAAGCCTTGGAATGTTAGAATAATGGATTCAGAGAATCTCAGGGCTTTTTTGAAGTCTTAAAATCTCAGCTGAGGCCTCGAATGTGAAGACGGTGGTGGTAGGGATCCTCACATTCCAGAAAGAAGGGCCAGGACTGGCAAAGAGGTGCTCAAACATCCCTTCTGCAGCTTCACACAAGAACGCTAGAGATTTGGTGAAAAAGCATTTGAAAGGAAGGTGCAGGAGCAGGAAGCACCACGGCACACCACTGTCCTGGAGAGGGAAGGTGGGCATCTCTCCAGCCCCGTCCTGGTGACCCCACGAGGAGACCAGGGGCCTCATGTAGGAAGGGAAGATGACATCTCACTTCCCAGCTGGACCTACAGCCCCGCCTGTGTTATAATGGAGCAGAAGACAGAAGAGTTCTTGGGACACCCTAGTGCTTAAATTCAGGAGTTTGGTGCATGTGATGAAGAGAGAGACGAGAGCCGGCTCCTTGCTGGAGAATTCTGATGGCGAGAGGCTCACTGGAGCTGCTCATGACAGCAGCATCTGAGCAAAATGCACTTCCAGGCCTTGGAGGGATTTGGGGAGTTTTCCTGTGGGCCGAGGGAATGTCTCGTGGGAGGACAGGGTCCTGCTTGAGCAGCTGCCCACCGGGTACCCCAGGGGGCTCAGGCAGAGTATTTGGGCACCTGCCTCTCAGGTACATCAGGTACCTCATGTACACCTGCCAGGTACATCAGCCCCAGCAACACCACCTCCACTTGTCCCCTCCATCCCTTCTTCCTCTCCCCAACCCTGGAGGGGCAGAAGCAGGGAGGGGAGGGAGCACAACAAGCAGAGTAAAAGGGCACTCCTCACAGCCTCATCACCACCCAGTCAGGCCTGAGCCTCATCCAGGCTGAAAACTGGATGGCAGACCGAGTCCTGATTTGGATTGGACCTGAGGATGAGAGAACTCAAACGCCTAAAACTGACCAGAAAGCTAAAGGTCTGCCCAGGAGGTCACTAAAGGGCGAAGAAGGGAATCCAACAAAATAGGCTTTAAAAGACTGTTGAGGAATCAAAAATGAAACTGTTTCATGACGATCCTGAAGTGAGATCAGCCACTTCAACACCCCATGTTTGGGGTACATGTACACTGTACATGTACAGTTTATGCTGTAACAGCATAAACTCAGAGATTTCAGAACGAAGAGATCCAGTGTCGCAGAGCCTGGGACTGTCAGATCTCTGGCTCTCAGAGCTGGGGGCTCAGCACCCGGATCTCCATGGGGGCCCTTCATCTCTCGTAACCCCCATGCCAGCTGCTCCAGGGGCTTGTCCTGCTGCTCTCCGAGCCCCGGCCTCACCCCCTTGACCAACATGCCTCTCCTGCCTTCAGGATCCGCAGCCGGACCCTGAGCCAGCCAGGAAACCCCGCTCTCGGTCTTCCAAGGGAAGGAACTAAAACTCCCAGAGCAGTGTGATCCCTGCTGGTTCCAGAACTTTCTCAGGGAGAAGATCTCATCATGGGAAGTGACTCATTCCCTTTGTCCACTGTTATTCACTGTACAGGGGCACCCAGCTGGCAAAGCCATAGCCAGGGCTGTGGCACCCGGGGAGGGGCGTCTGCTTCTAATTCTCATCGAGGCTGCCATTTGCGTGCATGCCATTCTCAGATTTACACAGGCACCACACAGGCTAGTTGGTGGCTCTGCCTGCCTCCCTGCCCCTAAAGACCTCCTGCCCCAGCGCCCCCTCCTGCCGCCCCCACCCCTGCACCAGCTTGTTACCTTCCTTGGAGAAGGGGTCGAAAAGGGCAAGCTCAGCCTCAGTGAGGGGGCCTCGGGCAGGGGAACTGGACGCCTCCTCAGTGCTCCCACAGTCAAAGAGGAGACCCAGGGCCTCCTGGGCAGGGCTGGATGGCGGGGGGTCCCCTGAGGAACAGATCACGGGGGACATTCATGCCTGCCCGTATCATTTCCCAGCTTTCAAAACAGAATGACCCTCTCACTGAATCCTTGCGCCAATCAGGGGCATAGACAAGCCCAGTCTTAGGGTTTGCGCCCATTTTACAGATTAAGAAACTGTGGCCTAGAGAAGGGATATGGCCTGGGCAGAGTTCCTCAGCAGGTTGGTGGCAGAGGAGCTGGGACACACCTCAGGCTTTTTACTAAGATCCCTGAGGAAGGTGTGGTCCCACCCCCTGGACCCTCCAGCCCTGGCTCCCTCCCCCGCCACGATGTACCTGGCACCTCCAACTCCTCCAGGCCTCTCCTCTCTGCAGGGAGCGGCTGGGGCAACCAGGGCTCATCAGGTGGGGGTGTGGGGATCAGAGGAGGTGGCAGGATATGCAGGTCCCTGGACACCTCGGATGGCCGTGTCACCTCCCCACCCTGAAGGAGAGAAAGACCAGCCAGGGGAAGTCACAGGGCGCAGCCTGGCGGGCAGCAGGCTTCCCAGGTGTTGCGGGGGCCAAGCAGGGACACCTACCCGGAAGAACTCCTTGAGTTGGGGGCTGTTGTTGAGCGCAGGGATGTGCACAGTGAAGCGAAGCAAGTCCTCAGCGCCCTTCCGCCGCTCCTCAATCACCGAGGCTTCAAACCGGCCTGCAGCCCCCCAAGACAAAGGGCGGGGAGAGAAGCAGTGACTCACAGAGGCCTCTGGCCACTTTTCCTGGTTCCACCCAAGAGGATCTAAGTAGCCCACTGCCCCCTCCCCATTCTCCCAGCAATCTTCCCTGGCTCTTCCCGGGGTGCGGGCACTTGCAAGGAGGGACCAATCTCCCTATTCACCCATTTACCAGATGTTTATTGAGTGCCTAGTATGTGCTAACTTCAGAGGGTGAATGAGAAAGAAACAAGGTCTCTGCCCTCATGGATATCACATCCTAGACAGGGGGAGGCAGGCAACCAACAAGAAACCAAACAATTTCAGCTGACTTTGATGCAACGGGCAGGAAAGTGAGGCTCAGAAAGGGAAAGTGACTTGCCCAAAGTCACACAGCGAGTTGCCCCATTTTTACAGTTTTACTGCTCTGTTCTTGGTATCACGCAGAGTTCTCTAACTCTGGCCTGGTTATCATGCTACCGGGGGAGCAGCCTGCTGCACTCCCTGCTGTCTGGCATAACCTGCCAACAGTGACCCTTCATCTTGCCACAAAAGGCATCTCATGTGAGTCCAGACCCAAGTAACAGCTCTGCCCTGTCCAAGAGAAATATAATATGAGCCACACAGGTAATTTAAAATTTTCTCATAGCCACATTTTTCAAAATTAAAAGAAACACATTAATTTTATAATATATTCTATTTAACCCAACATATCTAAAATATTCTCATTTGAACATGTAATCAATATATAAATTATTGAGATAGTTTGCATTCTTTTTTCAGTGTGTTTTCAACATCTCAGTTCAGACTGGCCACATCCCCGCCGCTCCTCAGCCACATGTGGCTCGTGGGTGCTGTTGTTGGGCAGCACAGGGCTAGAGCAGACATCGGCTATGGATAGGAATTCTGGTTCACTTACAGGCCAAACCCCTTCATCTCCCTGAGCCTTAGTGGCCTCATCTTGAAAATGGGGCTAATGACAACAGGAATGTTAAAGGACCCGACAGTCAATAAGGGCGAGGCTGCTCTGAGCCTTGGTTTCCCCACCCGTAAAGTGAGGCCATCTCTAAGGGCCCTTCCAGCTTTCTGAAGCATGTCTTTGCTGGGAGCTTCAGGCCCCCTCTATCCAGCCCCCACCAGCAGGGTCCCCTTTGCCAACTCTCCCTCCCTCTTGAGGCTGAATGCTTGGATCTACACTCACCGAACACCTGGGCGCGGGGGAAGGCAGGGAACTCCTCCAGGCGGCGGAAGAGGTTGCGGTGGGTGTAGGCTAGGTCTCCATGCAGCTTGCGGAAGTCGCTGTAGCGCCTCCAGACCACCACCTAAGAGGGACGGGAGATTGACCCGGACCAGCAAGGGTGGGAAGCAGCCTTCCCGACCCCCAGCCTGGCCCCAGGGTGTGCGGATTAGGGCACAGGGAGGAAGGGGGGCTGATCTCCTGGCAGGGTTACCAGCTGCTCCAGTACTGTTTCCAGATCTCGAGTTGGGGAATGGTCCCCCTTCCTCCCAGGAGCCTCACCTCTTTGACATCCTCCGGGTCCTTCTTTGAGATGAACTGAGGAAAAAAGGCAAGAACCAGGTGAGACCAGAGACTGACATCTGACTGCTGAGGACCCCGTAAAATATGAGGACACCCCAGGCACCTCCCAGCCCCCCTCACAGGGGCAGGGCACGTTGGCCACTGGCCACTGGTATCAAGGTGTCCTGGCTTAAAGGCGTTGAGTGTAACTTTGAGCAGTTTTTCTACAATGCACCTCAGCTTCTTCATCTGTGAAATGGGAGGATCCCCAAAAGCCCGTCTATCCTCAGCCCAACTTTTATCTCAGTTCCTTCAAAGGGCCAAGTCCCTGTATCTCCTTCTGAAACCAAAGAACCCCAAGTTCTCTAGAGAAACAAGGTTCTGTCCCAGGAGCCACTCCTTCCTTAAAGCAGGAAGCCCCTGTGCTCGAATGCTCCTGGACACAGAAGAAACCGTCACCGGGGACGTGACCCCGGGAAAAGCAGACTGGGGTCTGAGGTGGAAAGAAGACTCATTTTCATTATAATTGGTTCACAATAATTAAAAAATAATATCCTACAGTTGGGAATACTTGACAGTTTTCAACATTGCCTGTTCATTATCCTAGATCCCAGGGAGGCAGACATGATTAACATGCCCATTTAAAAGACAAGGAAACGGAACAACTAGAAGGATGTGCAACTATGTCATACAACTACCTACTGGGGCTTTGGGGAGAAAAAGGGAAAAAAGGAGGAAGACTGGCAACAGATGTTAGCTCAGGGCCAATCTTCCTTAAAAAAAAAAAAAGATGAGGAAACAGAGGCTCAGAGAGTGACGTGACCTGTGCAAGGTCACACACTCAGTAAGAGGAACTGACAGGACTGAAATCCTGGCCTTTGCTTTTCAGAACAGACTTGCCTAAAGTATTTTGGGTAAAAGAAACTATGTTTAAAAACCATTGAGGAATGTATACCTGACAAAGGACTCATATCCAGAGTATATATAAAGAACTCCTACAAATCACTATTAAAAAGACAAACAATCCAACTTTAAAAAATGGGCAAAGTACTTGAACAGGCACTTCCCACAAAAGAAGATGTTTGAATGGCCAATAAGATTACAAAATATGCTCAACATCATTCTCCATCAGAGAAATGCAAATTAATACTCCAATGAGATACTATACATCCACCAAGAACGGCTACAATTAAAGATGCTGATGACGTCACGTGCTGGCAAGAATGGGAGTATAAAATGGTACAACCACTTTGGAAGACTGGCACTTTCTAGGAAAGCTACACATCTGCCTATCAAATGACATAGCAATTCCACTCCTAGGTATATATCAAGGAGAAATGAGTGCGTATGTCCATAAAAAGACTTGTACATGAATGTTCATACAACTACACTCATAACAACAAAAATTTTTTTAGAAACAACCCAAAGGTCCAATAACAGGAGAATGAATAAAGAAATAGTGGTTTTTTATACAATGGACTACTATTATAGAGCAATAAAAAAGAACAAACTACTTATACATGCAACAGCATGGGTGAATTCCAAAAACACCATATGGAGTGAAAAAGACCAGACACAAAAGAGTACATGCTGTGTGATTCCATTTGCATGAGGTTCAAGAACAGACAAAACTAATCTACGGTGACAGAAGTCAGGACAGCGGTCACCTCTGTGGGAAGAGGACTACCAATTGGAAATATGCAAAGAATCTTTCTGGGGTGATGGAAATGTCTATATCTTGATCTGACTGGTGTTTGCACACATGTATACATGTGTAAAAATTATTGAGCTGTACACAAGATTTGTGCATATTACTTTATGTATATTATATCTCAGTTTTAAAAATTTAAAAAGTGAAGCAATAAAAAAATTGAGGAATACCAGCAAATGAATAAAGCAAGCTGCAGAATGCTGCTGTGTGTAAATAACAGTAATAAAGTGACTACATATATTTGCTTTCAAATGTAGAGTTTATCTGCAAGAATAAAAAGAAACTAGCAGCAATGGTTCCCAAGATGACAATGAATGGGGACGGTAAGGGAGGGACAATTATTTATCTTTAAAAGTTATAAAAACACATCAAAGTAATGCATGTTACTTGTTTAAAAAACCAAAAGAAAGATTTAAAGGAAAATGTTACAGACCCTTCCCACCCTTCAGTTCATCTTCCCAGGGACTATCTTTTTATCTGTATTTTTAGGCATAGGAAAGACATTATAAAAGATTTGGGGAAAGCTCATTTTAAACATCTAGGATTCTGCACTTAAATCACTTTGAAAGTGTCTTTATGCTTTGCTTCACCTTAATAGTTACTAATGCATCAGTTTAATAGTTGCCTCGTTAAAATTCTAAAGGTACAAAAAATTTACAGTGAAGTCTTCCCCCAACCAGTTCTTGTATATCATTCTAGGGATAGTCTGTTACACTGTTACTATTTTAAATTCTTTGCATGGTTTCCTCCATGTCTCTATACAATGTGCTTATAACACTGTTACCGCTTCATATATCAACTTTAGTCTTTACCTATTGACTGCCTGCTATGACCGTGAAGATGAAGACTTACTCCTTAAGTTCTTTTGAACTGTATTAATTTTTAAAGTCAGAGACAAGTATTAATTTTTGAAAAATTAAAAATAAACTCTTTAAAGGTCTTTTATGTAAATATCAAACAAACCAATAAATAAAACTTACTCCAAGAGATTGGAGAACTAATATTTGGGCTGCCTCAGAGTTTTCACGTTAACTTAAAGAAATTCACAGTCCGACGCCCAGATACTGCACGCTGGGCGTGGGCACACACACCCCGCGGGTCTGGGACCTGCCATCCACGCCCTTTTAAAAGGACAGCACCCTCCCATGGCCCCGCCCCCTGACGGCTAAAGAAGTAAACGGAGACTCATATAGCAGCCTCCCCTTAAAGGGGAAATACATTTCTGTCGTCTAAGAAGGGAGCTTCCAGCAGCTCCTTTGCCTTAAGGTAAAAACACGGCCCCACCTCTTGTTAAAAGGGTAAAGGTCCCCGCTGGGCCCCACCTCACCTGCGCGGTCACTTTGTACTCGGTGTAGCCCTTGGGGTGGGTCCGGGGATCGGAGACCGTGTAGTGCCGCACGAAGTCGTCCTTCGCTTGGCGGGACATGGCAACCGAGCTGGAGCGGAGCTGACCGCCGGCCTCCGCCTGCGCCGCGTCGCCCCCGCCCCTCGAGGTCAGCCTCTGCCAGTCGCCACCTCTCCTGGGCCTGCGTCCTTCATCCTCCGGCCCAGGGAGCTGGTCGTAAGTGACAGCGCAGTTCTCGGCCCAGGCACACGGCCAAGGGAGCGTCTAAAAAGTTCTCTGTCGTTGGTAAAGCGTAAACTAGGTTATTTGAGAGTAAAGATTCGGGAGATTGGATCACTCATCTCTGCCGAGAGATCAAGCCTACCCTATCCGAGCGTAAACCCTCATCACACATATCCAAACGACTGCTCACTGCTTCCCAATTCCCTTCTTTCATCCATCCACCCAACTTTTATTGTGTCCAATATGTGCAAGAGGTAGCCAAGTTATTTCCCTGTCTCTCTCCATGGGATTCGCTAATTCATGTTTTCTGGAAGGGTCGGGGGAGCACGACGGTGTCACCTGTTCCGAAGTCAGACTTCTTACTTAGCTGTTTGAGTTTCCCTTAACTACTCAAGCCTCAGTTTCTCACCTCTAGAATGGAGATGTTTATAATAGAATCTACAGCAGGAGATGCTTCTTTTTCTCCTTTACTGGTCTGTCCAGCATTCACCCCCACTTCTTTGTTAGTCCCAGAGCACCAGATCTTTGTTTGGAGGTAGTTCTCTTGTACGTGTAGACCTCCAGCCTCCTACCCTGGAACCCAAAGGTGCCAGCTCCTTTCCTTGCCCCAGGTCCCAGGTCGGGGTGGGGGACTCTCTCCTGAGGTCTTGAATCTTGAGTGAGGGACAGAGGGCACAGGACTTGGCAAGGGGACCACTTGTTCCTGGAGTACAGAGTTGGCTGTGCTTTCGGCTGCCCAGCCTTTGGAGCATTCTATTTCCCAAGCCTGGACGTCCGGCCTCCATTACAACGCCTTGAGTCCCCAGAAGCGTCCTTTCTGCTGAAGGCAGTCGTAATCTGTGTCTAGGGCAGGCCATCGAGGACTTCAATTGCTACCACCACCACAGGTTGTGAGGCTTAAATGCGGTCACGTGGGTGAAGCGTTCAAGTGCTCACTGCCACTCTTGTTACTGGAACTCAGATGTGTGGGCACTGTGGGCATTCCAGAAAGAAACACAAAGCAGATTCCCAAATCAGACTCTCGGAAGCCTGGAAACAAGGTAGTTCATCCAGGAGGTGTTGAGGAGGAGGCCCAGATGGAGTGGTGTCTCCTGGCATGACACACCCCAGGGCTTCTCTAAAGGAGCCCTCTGGACATGGCTCCTCTCTCCAAAGCTCTCTGGGCAGGGCTGTGGCTCCAGTCTCCCTCTCGCCCATCATCCCCGCCCCGCTCCCTGGCCTAGCAGCTCCCAGTTCTCCCCTTTGCCCCTTCTTTCTCCCTGTCCCCTCCAAGCCTTTTCCTATCTAGATCAGTTTAGTCCCTGGCCTTCTCCAGATCTCCAATTCCACCAGTTCCGTCACTAGGAGAAGCAAACAGAAGAGCCTTCTTAGAAGGCAGGGGAGAGGGAGGAGCTGCAAATACACAGCTGTAGGGGGCCTGCTCCCCACGTGCCCCCTGGGTCCGCTTGACCATGGGCTGCACACTTCCTGCTGTGGCTCATCCTCCTCAGCCACGGGCCTTTGAGATGAGCAGAACCTTGTTATTTTCGTTTGTCTCTAACCATGTATAATTTGCTTTTTAAATCAAGGACGTTGTTTACTAAGGGCCCCCAGGAGGACTTGAACACTGGGGTGACTCACTGGATCAGTGGATGGCTGAGCTCACATTGGTTGGATCTACTTGAAAAAAGCAGAGTTCCTAGTGTTTCAAATAATAATTATAGCTAACATTATCCAGTGTTTATGACACACAAGATACCCTCCCATTTTGTCCTCGTCCCAACACTAGGAAGTAGGTGCTATCATCTTTCCCCTGATGGGGAAACTGAGGCACGGACATGTTAGGCAACTTGCTCAGCATCAACCAGTGAGTGGCAGAGCTGGGGTTTGGCTCTGGAGCCTGGGTGTGGTCACTCGCCACACCCAAACCCACTCGCCAGGGTTTGGGAACAGGGGGACCAGCATCCATCTTGCACAGAGGACGGATGGGCGGTTCTAATGTTCTACCTTGAAGGACAGTTTATGTTCTAAGGTTGTCCATCCAACATCCATTTCCCTTCTTCCGTCCTAACAGAGCCCAGATTTTGCACTGGTCTCTGGCCCTCCAGGAGGGGATCCTAGTGCCAGTTTGGAGTAAATCTCTGTCTCTTCCTTGCCTTTCCCTTGGGAAAACCGCCCTCCCCTCATCTAGACACATTAGGCCGCCTCTCCCTGGCATTTGAATCTCGAGCAGAGACAAAAACTGAGAACAGTTAGTAGAGTGTAGTGGCTAAGTGTGTTGGGTCCGAACCCCAGGTCCCCTACTTCCTAGCTGAGTAGCTTTGAGCAAGTCATAACCTCCTGAAGGCTCGGCTCCCATATAAATGGGAATACAAAGGGTCTGGACCACTTAGGGCTGTTCTTCAATGAGTTGGTAAGTGCCTCAAACAGAACCCTACAGACTAAGCAGCCACTGGTGGGACCAGAGCAGGGGGCCTTGTGAAAACATCCATCTGTCCTGCCACTCTGGGGTCACCCTGGTTCCCTTCCTTTCCCAGCCTGGCCCCTGCTTCAGAGAGTGCCCTATAGCCTTCAGGGAAGGCTCCTTTCCGGCTCTGCCCCGTTAGCTAGCCCTGCTTGGTCTCACATCCTCCTACACCTGAGTCCTCACCCGTCCCCATTTCCCAGGAGCCCTTGCTCTTCAGCTTGAGCCAATGTTGCCTCGTATAGCTGCACAGGTTGTCCACTGCATGTGGGCTCCTAGCTGCAGCCGGAAATTGGGAGCTGGAATTCAGCCCATGTTCCATTCAATAGCCGTGAGCCCGGATGTGGGGCTGTGTCCCTTTTTCTAATTCACACCACTGAGGGCAGCAGTCGCTCTGGTAAACTGTCTCCCCCTTCCTCTACCCAGAAAACTTCTACTCATCCTTCACTCCCAGCTTTAACGTCACCTCCTCTGGGAAGCCTGCCTGGATTCTTCCAAGTGGAATTAGTTGCCACACTGTCCTGTGCTTCTATAATTCTTTGCGCATCCCTTTGACACAGCAGCAGTTAACCCTCTGATTGAAATGATCTGTTTCTTTCTGTCCCCTGCTGGACTGTGGGTTCCAGGCGGTCTCGAAAGCTGTTGAATCAATAAATGACTCAGCCAGAAACTGGAGCAAAGAATGGTTTATTCTCACAGCTGAGCAAAGGACGAGGCCCACAGCCTTGAGAGCAACACAGGCAGCCCCCTCCCAGCCCCAGCCCTCTCCTCTTGGTGTGGCAGCTGCAGGCGGGCCAGGTCAGGAGCCAGGGTGACAGCCAAGGTGGCAGCCCTCCTGCCGTGGGAGCTGGCTGGCCATGGAGCAGCAGCGGGCAGCAGTAGCAGCAGCAGGTTACAGAGGGGAATGGGGAGTGTTAATTGGGCTGGCTGATGCCCATCCCCCCATGGATGGTGCTTGGTGAGGGCCTGGTTGCGGGGGCCTGGACTTCGAGGTTGGGGGGCATCTGGAGCGACTCAGTCGGCCGTGAAGATGCGGCTGGAAATGTCGTCCAGGAGCCAGTCGATGCCAGACAGCAGGTTCTCCCCGGTGACGGCGCTGCAGCCCTGGATGCACCAGTGGTGGCTGCGGATGGAGTCCAGCTCCAGGGCCTGGGAGGGTGGAAGGCGCTGGTGGGGCCCAGTGACCACAGGCCCTGCCCGCTCACAGCCCCCTCCCTCTCCAGGCCCAGGGGAAATCCATGCCTCCCCCAAGGTCCTGCTCTGAGAAGCTTCCCCTGGTCCCTGGTGAATATTTGTCAGCCCCTGGAGGCATGTGGGCTGTCTATACACGCCATGCCAGCCTACCCCTTAGAAATGGAATAGCAACACGGGCTCCGAGCATCTGCTAGGATCCAGGTATTGCACTATGGACCCTACAAATGTCCTCTCAGCCATTCTGCCCAAGGCTCCATGAGCCAGTGTTGGCCATTTTACCAAGGAGGAAACCAAAGCTCAGAGAGGTTAAGCAACCTGCCTAAGGTCACACAGCTAGTAAGTGGCAGAACCAAGATTCTACCCCCACTCTTTCTCATATTGGTGCTCATGTTCTAGAATAAGAGTTAAGATGCAGTCACTGGGATCAGATAGTTTTTAAATCCTGGCTTGTCTACTTATTGGCTGTGTGACCTTGGGCCAGTTACCTGATCTCTTGAGCCTGCTTCCATCATAGAATGATAATAATAGTTCCTGCCTCATGAGGTTGCTGTGGGACTTGAATGAGTTGATCCATGCAAAGAGCCTGGCATGCAGAAAGTGCTCACTCTTTGTGGCTACTGTTAACCTGTGGAATAATCCATTTGCAGGGCTGCCGCCCCCAGGCTGCGAGACACCACCGTGTCTTATTAATCACTGAGTCTCCAGTGCCCAGCATAGGTCCTGCTGCATGGCAGGGGCTAATAAATGCTTTTTAAATAAATTAACACAGAAATGCGTGCCCCTTTTCCTCCGTGAGCCCGCACCAAGGCCTGGACTCACCTCGCGGATGGTGTTCGAGGACAGCGCTCCGGGCAGGTCCTGCTTGTTGGCAAAGATGAGGAGAGTCGCTCCAGCCAGGCGCTGGGGGAGAGAAACAGAGGGGCCCAGGGGAGGGGGCTCAGAGGGCAGCCCGGCCCCTCCTCTAATCACCCAGAGCATCTGGGGTCAGAGATCAACCTGAAGATCAGGGCAAGGCCCCGTGGCGATGGGAGAGGTCCAAGTCGGGTGGGCAGTGTGGACATGGCCTTTGAGGCCAGCTAGACATGGGGTGGAGGGAGCCCTGGGCTGCGCCAGGGCACTGGTTCCAGCCCAATCACTACCCAGTGGACACTTCTCTCCTCCGTGCCTCAGTTTCCTCTTCCACAAACAGGGAGGGGGTGATCCCTGAGCCCTCTGTGGTTCTAGACTGCTCCATCTCATGACCTGACATGCACAAAGAATGCGTGTCCCAAGGGGCCAAGGGGTCTGCTGGAAGTGACCTTCCTCTTCCAAGTTCATGTAGCCCTTTAACTGTCCCATCACCCTGACAGGCCTCTGCCTCTGATTCTAGTTATTTCCATGTATGCGTTTGGTCCTGGGAGTCCCTCCATGTGGGTGGGGATCTAGCCCTTATGAAGGGCCTGACGTGCCAGGCCTGGGCATGTGACAGCCCTGATTTCAATGGACTTGCTCGACACCCCAGGGAGGCGGCTACTGTTATACCAGGTGACCCTAGGTCCTTGTGTGCCCAGGACAGTCCCGTTTATACCTGTTGTCCCTGCATAATTATTAACAACTCCCTTTAATCTTAAAAGTGTCCTGGTTTTCAACTAAATGCAGTGCAGTAGCTGGGATCAAATCCTGGAACAGAGAAAGGCCATTAGTTGAAAAACCTGATGACACTCAGGGTGGTGAAGTAGGGACATAAAGGGATGGGAACCCAGGTCTCGGTCCACAGCGTGGCCTGTCCGCAGCACTGCGGGCCTCCCTGGACCAGGTATACAGGTTGTCTCTGCCTCCCCAAGGGTGCTGGCTCAGAGAAGGAAGAGACCCCACCCCAGGTGTCCCTCTGGGGTCAGGGACCCCTCAGGAAATCTGCTGAGGAAGGTGTCCACACGTCCACGTGTGTGCGTAAAGTATCGGGGCCTGGATTCTGGTGGAAGCCCGCTCCCCCTGCTCGGCCAGGCACCCCGCCCACCTCCTCCACCAGCAGGCTCTGGAGCTCCCGCTGGCAGTCCTGCATGCGCTGGCGGTCGGCGCTGTCCACCACCCAGATGAGGCCGTCGGTGCTCTCAAAGTAATTCCGCCAGTAGGACCGTAGGGACTTCTGGCCGCCCACATCCCAGATGTTCAGCTTGAATCTGGACAGGGAGGGGATGCTTGGAGGGTCAGCCTGGCCCCTCGTCCACCCTCCCTGCCCTGCTCTCGGCCGGCCCGCCCACAGGGACCCGCTCACCCTCGGTGCTCCAGGGTCTTGATGTTGAAGCCCAGCGTTGGGGAGATGGTGTCGATGTCTTCCCCATTGAACTTCTTGAGGATGGTGGTTTTGCCAGCATTGTCCAGGCCGCTAGGGCACAGGTTAAGGAGCAGTCTCCATGCTATGCAGGGCGGTGACATCATTATAGCGCCCCTGTCTTTAGGGGACAAATCTTTTCCCACCACGAATCAAAATGAGTTGAGCACATGCCTGACCCACAATCGGCCCATGATAAATGTGAACCATGATAAATGTGAAAGTATCAAGAAATGAATATCTTATCATCTCCTCCTGACCAAAGGCTCCTTAATTCATTTCACAATATTTATTGAATATCTCCTATATGCAAGGCCCTCTTCTGTGCAGGGGAAACCCAGAGTAAAAGCCCTCTCCCTTGTGCAGCTTACACTCTCGTGCAGAGACAGTTGGTAGAGTGCAAACAAATGAGAAACAGGTCCTGTTGGATCTGGGGAAACTTCAGAGATACAACGAAGAAGCTTTTGGAGACGGCCATCAGGGGAGCTTCCTTTAGCTCGGGCACCTCTCTGAGGGTCTTGAGCTGAGGCAAACTACAAGAAGCCAGCTTTTTGAAGGACTGAGGGAAGAGCATTCTAGGCAGAGGGAACAGCACAACCAAGTATCTGGTGGCAGCCACCGTCACCTGTTTCTGGAATATTCCAAACCCTTTGCTGCTGAATGAGTGTGCAAACGAATGGATAAGTTCACCAGCTGGAGAGAACCACCTCCTCTTTCCTTCCAACACTATAGGGGGCTTGCAGCTGGGAGGGGGACCCAGGCCCTGGCCTCTGCAGCCTTTCTGCTCACTTGACCTGGGTGAGTGACTCAAACCAGTGAAATGGGGGTGAGAGAGAACCTCTCATGAGACCCAGCCTCAGCCCCAGATTATCTCCTCACCCCCAACCCCATCATCCACGTTTCCTTCTCTGCTGGATCATTCCCATCAGCTGAGAAGCTGGGGTCTCTCCACCTTAGAAGAAGCAAACAATACCCTCCCTTGATCCCTCTCCCCCCTACTTATTCCTCTATTTCCTTCCCCTTATATCAAATCTCTTCAGAACCGTTGTCCAGGGCTGGCCCCGTGGTTAAGTGCGCGCGCTCCGCTGCTGGCGGCCCGGGTTCGGATCCCAGGCGCACACCGGCGCACCGCTTGTCTGGCCATGCTGAGGCCGCGTCCCACATACAGCAACTAGAAGGATGTGCAGCTATGACATACAACTATCTACTGGGGCTTTGGGGAGAAAAATAAATAAATAAATAAAATTATAAAAAAAAAAACAAAAAACCGTTGTCCATACTCGCCCTCTCAATTTCTGTCCTCTTGCCCTTTCTTGAACCCGTGAGGCTCCCACTGCTTCCTGGAAATTGCTCTCGCTGAAGTCAGCCCCTAAAGACCCGCACGTAGCCCTCCTGTGGCCAGGCAGTCCTCACCCCTTGTCTTCCTGCTCCATCAGCAGCACGTGAGACAGCGGCCTGCCCCTTCCTCTGCTCCAGGACATGCCCTTGCCTGTACACCTGCCTCCCAAATCACCCATCCTCATCTCCCTGACCTCTTGATCCAGGTAAGCCTGGGTTCCCTTCTCTGTCCACACTCATCCTCGGTGCTCTCACCCAGGATCACAGCTTCATACACCATCTTTATGCTGATTGACACCTAAATTTATACGTCCCACCCAGCTGCTCCCCTGGACATCAGTCCCTACATCCAGCTGCCTATCTGACATTTCTAGGATGTCTCAGAGGAGCCATCTCAGCAAGTGGCTCTTCTTTTTCTAATTGCTCAGGGCAGAACCCTAGGAGTCAGGCTTGATTTCATTCTCCCTCTCACACTCCCAGCCAATACAGCAGTAATTCCTGGGGGCCCTACTGTCAAAATGTCCCCCAGCTTCCATCACCTCACTGCTTCCATCCTGGCCCAAGCCACCAGGCTGTCTCTCCTGGGTTAGAGCAAGGGCCTAGCTGGTCTCAGATCACACCTCCCCTCTGCACTGCACTTAAAGAAAAAGCCATGAACCACAAGGCCCTACAGGAGGTGGTTCTTCTAGTATTCTCCTTGCCCATTCTCTCCAGCCACATTGCCCTCCTTGACGTCCCTTTGAACACACCAGTTGAGCTCCTCCTTCGAGGCCTTTGCCTGTGCTGTTCCCTTTGCTTAAACAATCTTCCCCACATACCTACATGGTTCATCCCTCACCTCTCTGTTTTAATCAACTGTCACTTACTCAATGTGGCCTTCTTTAACTAGCTTATTTAGACTGCATTCTAGTCCATACATACTATATATTTTACTCATTTGCTTTGTTAATATCTTTCTCCCCCCAGCATCATAGAACGTCCATGAAGGTAGGATTTTTTTATTTTGCTGTTTCCCCCAGCACCTAGGGCAGCGCCTAGCACATAGTAAGCGCTCAATATTGATCGGATAAGTGAATTCTGTGCCTTTCTGGGAGCTCTTTAAGACACGATGTGACTATTATTTTAACTTATTTGCGCACATAAATGTCTTCCTTCCCCTGCTAGGGGAGCTCGGGGTCAGGCCCGCCCAGCTCTCAGATCGCAGAGCCCCCACGGGCCCCTCACAGAGTAGGGCGAACCAGTGCGGACGCCTGCTAAGGGGACTCAGAAGGTCGGCGGGGCCCCGGGCCTACAGGCCGCCAGCCGCGGGGACACCGACGGGCCGAGCGGCAGCAATGAGAGGGACAGTTCGATCCACGGTCGAAACGACCCGCGGAGTCCACACCCGCCTGCCCCCGGGCGGAGGGCGGGTTCCGCACGCCCCAGGGATTCCGACCTTGAGGGCGGGGCCGGGCCTGGCCCCCCTCAGACAGAGGGGAGGAGGTCAGAGCCGGGGAGGATACCGGCCCCTCCTCGGGCCAGACGGACGGGCAGTGGCTTCCGGGTCACCTCCGGGCCCCACCTCCCCCCTACACTGCGGGCCTTCAGGCTCACACCCTTGGCCTTGGGAACGGAGACCCCCCCCCGCCCGAGCCGGTGGTACGGCCCCCTTCCGGCCCCCCGCCAGGAGCGGTTGGTAGGGCCCACGTGCGTGACGCACACTGGGCAGTTGGTACGGGCCGGCCGGCCGTGGCCCCCGCGCCCGGTAGGGGGCGCCTGGCACCGCCCTCCTGGCGGGGCCCTCGCTACCCCCGCGGCTGCGGCGTCCGGGAGGATACAGCATCAGCAACCGCAGCTCCCGCTCTTTCTGCTTCATCTTCTTCAGAATGGTCAGAAGCCCCATGGTCGCGGTAGACCCCTCTCGGCCGCCGTTTCTTTCTAGTCCCGGGACCCCTCTCCTTGCTCCTATTGGCTAGCACGCCCACCGGCAGCTCAGCCGATTGGTCGGCCTCTTGCTTGGTCCCGCCCTCGCCCCCACGTGACCGCGAAGTAGCCCGGCGGTGCCGCTGCGACGGTCCCTCTAGCGGTGCTGGGGGCTTCTGCGCGGCCACCTGCGTTAACCCTTCACATCCCGAGGGCTTAGGGGACGAGGGCACCGCCATTCCTCCGCAGCAGGATCCCAGGCTCAACCGGGAATGGAAACCTGAAGTTTCCTGGGTTGTATCTTGCCTGCAAAGAGAGAAATTCTAACTCAGCAGTCAGAACCGAGAGCCCCAAGGATGTTGACCAGCTCATCCTGGGGCCAGCATAGGGCTCTGTGCCCCGGAAACGTGGTCCAGATCCTGCGCATCTTGGGCCTCCCCCTTTCCCTGGCTCCTCAGATGGGAGACGGTGGGCCGAGGGTTCTCCATCGAGGGCGAAAATGCCCCCCAGGGGCCGTTTCGAAATGTGCAGGGGCGTCATTGGGTTGTCCCAATGGCAAGGTAGAGTCCCTGTCCTTTAGAGGGCAGAGGACAGACCTGCACAAAGAATTGGCCTGCCCGAGATGCCCATCGTTTCTCTGTTGAGAAGCACGATTCATTTTGCCACTGAGAAAATTGAGGCTCACAGGGCGCTTAGCACAGCGACTGGCGTATAGTAGGTGCTTTGTTGTTGAATGAATGACGTTGTCCAAGAGTTTGGTTCTTTACCTTGGCGCTCAAGTCCAGAAAAAGTGAGGAAACTGAGGCAAGGGACTAGGCAGATTGTAAACTCAGAAGGGTGAGCTTTATTGTCTTGTTTTGAGCCCTTCTTCCAGCCCTCTACAAGATAAATATGAGTAGGCAGCCCAGAGTAGGCTTTGTCTGATGCGTGGGAAAGAACAGTCAGGCACCAGCTGAAGATAATGGCTAACTTCTGTGTAGTTGTTTACAAAGCACTCCGTGCTTTCTACTTCATCCCCCTGGCAACCCTGAGAGGTTTATTTCCTTTTTGTAGATGTAATAGTGGAGTCAGAGTTTAAGGAGCTTGGGCTGCGATTTAAACTCAGGTCTGGTCGACAGTAAAGTGCACTGCGTTTCCTGGTCCCTCCATGGTGTTGGTCTAGAGAGGGAGAGATCTGGAGTGGTCTGGACCTTCCCATCCTGCAGAAGAAGGTTGTGGACAGGAGAGGGCTGGACAGAACGGGGTGCCTGGCTGGGCCCCCTGGGACAGCACTATTTACCCTCCACCAAGCACACCCAAGGGAAGAAAGTGGGCGTAACTCCTATTCAAAGGCTTTAAGACACAACTGAGATCACAGTGTGCCTGCCGTCCTATCTCCATGAGTCTCTGCTACAGAAATTCTAGCACCAGCAAGTGAACATTTATGACAAGGAAGTTTTCTGTGGCATGGTGTGGAACAGCAAGAAACTGGAAAAAATTGAAGTGCCTTCAGTGGGGATCAGTTACCCTGCTTGGGGTATGCATGTGTGGTGAATTCCATGAAGCTTGGAGAAGGGTGAGGAGGAGTGTTAATGCACCTGCATGGAAAGATGTCCATGCCATGTTAAGTAAAAAAGGCGAATGTCAATTTTAAAATAACAATAACCCACTAAAGAATGTTTTTCAAACTATAGGATGCAGCCCATTAGGTAGATTGTGAAATTACTTTGGTGTCACAAATACGTTGAACCATATGAAATCACCCATATTCGACCGTTTTGACTACAAAGATACCAGTTTCGTATGGTTCAACCTAGTAGCATGAGCAAAATTTAAATAGAATGAACGGAACAGAAAACATTGCTGCCTTTGCCCGTGAAGTAAAGATAAGTAGTATTTGTTGAACCGTCTGTTTCAGATATTTATATGGATGTGTGTACTTCTGAGAGGCACAGTCACAAAGTGTGAAAATCAGAGCAATTCCACTGTTAACTCTGGAGTTGGTTTGAGGGAAACTTAAAATGATTACCTGAAGCACTTCTGGATTGTTTTACTTTACTGCTGCCATTAGCACTAAAATCCTTGTTTCAATGCCAGGGTTAAAGCCCTGCCATGTCCAAGCTGCTCTTGTAGCTTCCCAGGGGCCACATAGTGGGGTTACAATGAATATCAATTAAAAAAACAACCTGGAAGCTCTGAAACAGTAGACCAGGAAGTAACTGTATTTAACTTTTTTGTGTGTGTGTGAGGAAGATTAGCCCTGAGCTAACATCTGTTGCCAATCCTCCTCTTTTTTTTTTTGCTGAGGAAGATTGGCCCTGGGCTAACATCCGTGCCCATCTTCCTCTACTTTATATGGGATGCTACCACAGCATGGCTTGACAGGCGGTGCATTGGTGCGCGCCCGGTGTCCGAACCTGCGAACCCTGGGCCGCTGAAGTGGGACGCATGCACTTAACTGCTATGCCACCGGGCTGGCCCCTGTATTTAACTTTTGAAGAATGATTGCCAGTAGCTAGAAATCAGGGGGCTGGGTGGGGTGGGGGCTTTTAAAGACAAGTGTGAGGCCCTAGCGACAGGCGTATTTTCATTTGCCTTGTGGAAAGGAGGAAAGAGTGCTCTTAAGGAAATAAAATCTATGGGGAATACCTTTGGAGGAAAACTGGGCAAGAAGATGTATAGAGCTGTAGTTATATATAACTGTGAATATATATATTCGCAAGAAAGAATCATGAAATTAAAATACCCAAATCCTGACAGCTGTGAAACCTGCTTTTGAAGGGAGAGTTTCTTGGGACTAAGTAAGTGGATTGTAGCTTGAGGATGGGGTTCTAGACGGCTTTTTTTTTTTTTTAAATGAAATTTGATCTTTAAAGATTTTATTTATTTATTTTTTCCCCCCAAAGCCGCAGTAGATAGTTGTATGTCATAGCTGCATATCCTTCCAGTTGCTGTATGTGGGACGCAGCCTCAGCATGGCCGGAGAAGCGGTGCGTCGGTGCACGCCCGGGATCCGAACCCGGGCTGCCAGCAGCGGAGCGCGTGCACGTAACCGCTAAGCCACGGGGCCGGCCCAAGATGGCTTTTTAAAAGGCATGATTTCCCAATGTCTGGGGAGGAAAATTTGGCATTATCGTTTTAATTTTAAGAGGTAGAGCCTGTTTGATCCAGCCATTCCACTTCGTGTATCGCCTTTATAATCATAAAGGAAAAATAACAAAACTCTTTTTATTCTGGAACAACAACAACAAAAGCCGGGGGAGAAGACCTTGCTTAAATTATAATTGCTGATCATTGAGCATTAGCAAGAAGTATACCCAAGTGTTTATTTGTGTATATAAATATTTTAAACTTGTTCTAGATGCATTTTCTATCTGATTGTTTTAAACTATAATGTTTGTATGAGGTTGTTTACAGTTACAGTTTTGATAAGAGAAATCCCGTTTTTCTCTCTGGTGAGACACATCTGTGATACAAGTTTAATTTTTGGACCACATGCACATGACAGAAGCACAAACCAGCACTTGGTGGCAGCATACCCAAGTGTAGGTTTTGTCCTACTAATTAGTAAACAAAGAACTGGAAGGTTGAATGAAACCTAATCACTGAAATGGCAGATGCCTATAGACCACAGTTTGGCCCTGGCCTGCTCTAAAAATCTCACCTCCTATCTTCCTGTAGGCGTTAAGTATCCAAGGGTGGCCCTGTCCCCAGTGGGTGTGTCCAACGTGCAAGCCATAGCTGAATGCCTCAGATGGTATCAGAGTGTTCTAGCATCTTTGTAACAGGTCTCAGCCCAGCTGCCTCGCGTGGGAGGCAGAGGAGGTATTCTCTCCAACTTCCAGATGGCAAAATAAGCTGTTACTCACACCCCTGCCAGCCACCCACGGGCACCTGACATCCTCAGACCTTTCTAGAACCTTAGGAGTGGGGAACGACTCGAAAATCTGAGCTCTTCCAACAACTGCACCCACGTCCACCTCACCTGTACCTGTGCCGTCCTCAAAGGCACGGCTGTGCCGATGCTTCTTGTCTCCACAGGTCCTGGCTGGGGAATCAGGAGGAGAAGTTGCTGGGCCTTCACTCAGAGAGCCTTCACCTGAGAGCCAGGTCCCACTCTTATCTCCACCTGACAGGTGAGCCAGGGCCTCCACTCACCTAGACAGCTGCAGCAGCCTCTGCTCAGAGCCTTCCACTGTCCTGTATCTTTCAGAGTTAGAGCCCCAGGTCTCCAGTGGCCTACGTGAATGCCCCCCACCCCCACCCCAGGCACTCTGCCCCCAATCATCTGCTCCTCCCCCTCCCCTTACCAATCCTCCAACCCACCAGGCCTGCCTGTTCCCACCGCCCCTAACCCTTACCTCTCTGTCATCTCCCTCTCTTCAATTCTTCACTCAAAAGTCCAATGTCTCAAAAAAAATTTTTTTTTTTGGTGAGGAAGATCAGCCCTGAGCTAACATCCATGCCAATCCTCCTCTTTTTGCTGAGGAAGACCGGCTCTGAGCTAACATCTATTGCCAATCCCCCTCCTTTTTTTTTTCCCCCCGAAAGCCCCACTAGATAGTTGTATGTCATAGTTGCACATCCTTCTAGTTGCTGTATGTGGGACGTGGCCTCAGCATGGCCAGAGAAGTGGTGTGTCAGTTCGTGCCTGGGATCCGAACTGGGCCACCAGTAGCGGAGCGCGCATGCACTTAACCGCTAAGCCATGGGGCTGGCCCCTCAAAAAATTTTTTTGTTCAGATGTCTCAGTGAGGCCCAGCCTGACCGCCCTGTTTAAATCTGAAAATGCCTGATCCCCCACTCACATTCCCCAAATCTCTTACTTTGCTCCATCCTCCCCCATGACATGGAAGGCCTTCTGCCAGCATCTACAATTCCCTTAATGTATTACATTTATTTTCCCCACCCCTCCATCCCCACTAGAGTGGAAGCTCCACGAGGACAGGGATTTGAATCTTTTATTTTTCCAGTTTTATTGAAAATAGTTGACATTCATCACTGTATAAGTCTAAGGTGTACAGCATGATGGTTTGATTACATATATTGTGAAATGATCATCAAAATAGGTTTAGCTAACATCCATCTTCTCATATACATACAATAAAAAAGAAAAGAAAGAAGGGAAAAAAATGTTCTCCTTGTGATGAGAACTCTTAGGACTTATGCCCTTAACAACTTCCCTATATGTGGTACAGCAGTGTTAGTTGTGGTCGTCATGTTGTAGATTACATCCCTATTACCTATTTATTTTAAAACTGGAAGTTTGTATCTTTTGGTCACTTTCCTCCCTTTCCCCTCCC